GCGGCCAGTCTGTATGTGGGATCCGAACCCTTGGCGGGAGCGCCGCCACGCTCCCAAACGGCGCACTATAGCAGTGCACCACCAGGCCGGCCCCCCAAAAGACAGTCTTTTGAATAAACCATGTTGGGAAACTGGATACTCACATGAAAAGAATGAAGTTGGAACTTTACATAATGTACAAAATTTAACTCAAAAAAGATCAAAGACCTAAAACTTAGGAGCTAAAACTATAGTCATGCAATTCGTTCTGAGAAATGCATCATTAGGTGATTTTGTCACCATGGAAACATCATAGAGTGTACTTACACAAATCTAGATGGTGTATCCTACTACACACCTAAGCTAAGTTATATGGTATAGCCTGTTGCTCCTACATGCGTGGTGCTACAGTTTTATCATGGCTATGACATCACTAGGCAATAGGAATTTTTCAGCTCCATTATAATCTTATAGGACTACTGTCATATATGAAGTCCATCATTGGCTGAAATATTATGCAGCACATGAATGTATAAAACTCTTAAGAGAAAACATAGGGGGAAAGCTTCATGCCACTGGATTTGGCAGTGATTTCTTTGGATCTGACACCAAAAGCATAGGCAACAAAAAAAGAAATTAGATAAATTTGACCACCCAAAATTACATGTTTTTGTGCATCAAGGAATACAATCAACAGAGTGAAAAGACAATACACAGAGTGAGAAAAAATATTTACAAATCAAATGTCTGATAAGGAATTAATATCCAGTATATATAAAGAACTACAACTCAACAACAAAAAACATACAATGCAATTAAAAAATGGACAAAAGTAGTTCTATTTTTAGTTTTTTGAGAACCTCTATACTGTTGTCCATAATGGCTGCACTAATTTATATTCCCACCAGCAGTGTATGAGTTCCCTTTTCTCTGCATTCTTGCCAGCATTTGTTATTTTCTTTCTTTTTGATAATAATTATTCTAACAAGAGTGAGATGATATCTCATTGTGGTTTTAATTTGCATTTCCCTGGTGATTAGTGATGTTGAGCATTTTATCATATAACTGTTGGCCATTTGTATGTCTTCTGAGAAATGTCTGTTCAACTCATTTGCCCATATTTTAATCAGATTATTTGGGTGGTTTTTTTCCAAATTCTTTTTAGGGCCGAGCCCGTGGCGCACTCGGGAGACTGCGGCGCTGGGAGCACAGTGGCGTTCCTGCCGCGGGTTCGGATCCTATATAGGGATGGCTGGTGCGCTCACTGGCTGAGCGCGGTGTGGCCGGTCTCAAAAAGGACAAAAAAAAGGGCCGGCCCAGTGGCGCACTGGAGAGTGCGCAGCTTGGGAGCATGCTGGCGCTCCCGCCGAGGGTTCAGATCCCACGTACAGACCGGCCGCTCACTGGCTGAGCGAGGGGCGGGAGCAACACCGAGGGTTGCGATCCCGTGGCCGGTCCCGGTCCGGTATGGGCACGACACTGAGGGTTGCGAACCCGTTGCCGGTCATGAAAAAAGACAAAAAGGAAAAAAAAAAAAAGAATTTTATACAAATTTAGTTAATTGGCACTAGGGCTGCTATTTCATTGGCTGCTCAGAGGCTCTGTGAATGACTTCTAGGTGCAAGATAATTAAATGAGAAAGTAAGCAGAACACAAGCAAATTAAAGTCTTAGGGAGCCTACATCAATTAATAATCATTGTCATCTGTAATGAGTAGATTGTATATGTTCACAGACTTTAATGATTAAAAGTGTTTTCATCTCTTAAGGTACTAAACATTGCTCCTAAAATTCCTTTTGTTTTACAAACACTGTCTGTAAATATTACAAAAATAAAATGGTTAGCCATTTTTGCAATGATCACAAGTTCTTATACATTGAAGTATTCCTCTGATGGAAAGACTTGAATGGTGTTAAAAATATCGCTCCCACCATACCCCACCCCCAATTCCTGCTAGGACCTAAAAGATGACAAACAAACAGGCATCAGATTACTAAGGAGAAGACCCTGTACCCAAAGGAAGCTTACCGCTCTAGCTGCGAATCTGACAAGGACTCCAGTTAAGAAGGTAAAATAGTACCCAGGGTAGACACCGTGCCACAAAGCAGACAGGATGAAGGTTAGCACCGTGGGGTACTGTGGAACCCGCTCATAGCACACGCTGTGAAGAGAGGGAGGAACAGTAAGCCACAGGTAAAACACACTAGAAACTTCTAGCTGCGTTTGCTTCTTTCTGGATCAGACCAAGCTGAAATCATTTGATACATGACTGTCGGGTTGCCTGCCTAGCCCTCCTTAAGGACTTGCAATGCAATCCAAGCATCCTGAGCTGCTCTGGTTTCCTTGAGCTCTACCAGACAGGCAATTCACAGCTCAGCCTTTTTAGGAGATGCTATAAATGGTTAACCTCCGTAGACTAAATGATCTGGCCTCCATCACACTATATCTAATGAAGGTCTGAGTTCCTGCCTTATAGAAGCTTACCAACAGCCTGACCTACTACAGGTACTCAAGTAAGTGCAATCAGCATTAAAAATTCTGGAATGAGGATAAAGATCTTTAGAAATGGATATCCTCACTTAGTAAAAGTTAATTTACCTTTCCAACCAGGCCCCTATGCCATCTAACTTAACCAACATTACAGCCCTTTTCATCTCTCTTGACAATGACTCAGCACAAAATCAATGTGCCAATTACATGACCTCTTGGGTCTCAGTGTCCTTCGGATTTCAATCCATGAATCTGCCTTAAAGAGTGATACTGTGAAAATCTAGAAAAATGTCAGCCAGTACCCTGAAGATCTTTGGGTTTTGGTTGTTTATTAAAATGAAGTGATAGCATATTTATCCCCAAACTCAGTCTATAAATCTCTAATGGCTCTCTAAGGAAGTCACTTCACGGTTTACTCAATGAAAGGACCCAAATCAAAAATAAAATAATAATCCAAACACTTAACAACAATCCAGCATGGGTTGTCAATAACTGATTAAAACCCAAACTAAGGATTATGGCCCCCTCTTCCCAAGAAGAAAGAAAATGCATTTGGGAAGATAAATAGGGGACTGAGACCCCATTTGTAATGTCTGTTTTTTAAATGAGGAGTAGGTACATAAGTATTTGTTTCTTACTCTTTGTATCTTTTTGTATGAATGAAATACTTCATTTTATAAAATGATTTTTTAAGATTCTTTTCATTCTTTATGTGTACACAGGTATGTTCAGTCATCTTAGAATGCAGACTCGTAACGAAGACTGTATAACTCTTAGCACATTGGTATTACTCAGTGTAAAGAAATAGAGGTTTATGTTTAAATCCTTTGCACTATTAATTAATAGCTACAATGTTAAGGCTAAAATTTCAAAATTTTGCATGCTCGAATCAATTTGTAGAAAATAATCCAGAGCTTACTTCGGAGGAGTTGCTACACATCGTCTGTTCTTTTATCCCAATGTTTTGACCTATGAAAGATGCTACTCACCAAAAACAGTATAATCTGCTTAAAAGCTTAACATTTTAATACTCTCCCTTCACTTTTATGATAGGCATATTCATTAGGTAGAGTTTGCTACTTCAAGGATAACATTATTAGTTCCATAATAAGCAACGCCTCTAATTTTGGAACATGTAGAAAAACAAAAGGACAGAGAAATATCAACAAAAATACAAATTTAAAAAACATAAACATCTGGGGTATCATAAAACTTTTAATGCCAGGGATGAACACAGCAATCATCAGTGATTTGATGCTGACATTGACCCTCCTTGGCATCTGAGCAATAGACTCTCCTCTAGGTAAGAGGCAGCACAGACTATTTGGGCTCACTGCTATCACTCATTAGCTGTGTGACTTTGGAAAAGATAAATAACCTCTCTGTGTCTCACTCTCTTCATCTGTAAAATGGGCATAAATCTCATGGGATTGATGGGAGGTTTAAATGAGTGCCTGGTACACAGTAATGGTAACATTAAGTCATAAAATAAATGTGCTACATTATTACCTTCTCAAATCATTGTATTTCGCAGCACAGACTATTTGGGCTCACTGCTATCACTCATTAGCTGTGTGACTTTGGAAAAGATACATAACCTCTCTGTGTCTCACTCTCTTCATCTGTAAAATGGGCATACATCTCATGGGATTGATGGGAGGTTTAAATGAGTGCCTGGTACACAGTAATGGTAACATTAAGTCATAAAATAAATGTGCTACATTACTACCTTCTCAAATCATTGTATTTTGACTTTTTCATTTACAGGGCACAGATGTTAATTCAAAACAAAAGTGTCAGATGACATTACTGTTGGCAGATTATTCCTGTTCACCTAAGGAATCCCATTTAAATATAGTCCAGTGCCATGAGTAATGAGGTCGTTTTTGTTTTTCTTACCACTTTAGCCAAGTAGCTGTCTGAATATTCCAGTTTTCTAAGTACATTTTGAAACTTGTGGCAGTCTGAAAAGAAGAAAATAACACCTATCATTAGCTTTTAAAATACCCCAAGTAATGGAAAGTCCTCTCCAGAATTTCCCTGGCAGCAGATTAGATATGCTATTTCGATAGTGACTACTCACAGTCAAGAGTAAATCATCTGTTCCATCACACACAGTAAAAATTTTCTTGTGTTTATGGGATTTATTTTGCAACTAAACCTTGGCTTGCAAAGTCTCAATTTTTCTCAAAATTTATTTTCAAATTATAGGAAAACTAAAGGAACGTTTTGTGGGTTTCCCTTCCATTCTGGTTAAAAAATGTAAGTCATCTGAATTTTAAAACTAAATATTCTAAAAAGGGATGTACCACAGGAAAAGTGTAATCATGTGAACTTGGTACCTTTCTGGAGACAGCTTAAATTTAATTGTCATCTTTTTAATATGTGGCCATATACAAACTAGGTCAGTCTTGTGCAGTTAACTCTATAAATAGCTACACAGGTTCAAATGCTTTCAATTGTGTCTGGAACAGTGAGAGATTTTATGCATGAAGGGATCGTAATACAGAAAAGAAAACAAAGAAATATCACCTAACTAGCAATAATGCAGGGAAAGCAACCACTGAGGAAGAGATACCCCCAAATAAGCCATCAACGGGGTTTTCTCATTCAAAAAAGTCATATCAAAGGCTGGTGGTAAAAGCATGAAACAAACATACAAGGACCAGAATTCCTAAAGAAGGTAGAAAGTAGAAGTGCCTTTCTGTTTTCTGCTTTTTTTTTTTTTTGGCTGAAGTTTTTTCAACCATAAGAAATCTTACATGGGCCACATTTGGAAGGGAGGGAGAGATGGAGGAAGGGAGAGGAGGAGAAAGGAAGATTCAATCATCTGATTGATAGATGGAAGATAGACTTTTTTTTATTGTGTTTTTATTTCAAAACCCTAAGGAGTTTCATTTATTCATTTCTTCTAATGGTTAATAAAATACTATAAGAACAGCCTCAGGTACCTTAACTAAACTAAAGTTCCTTGTTTTTCTTTAGCTCCTGATGATATCAAATACAATGAAAATACAAATTTTCTCTTTCTGGTTTTCTTTGATAATCAACACATAACAACTTAGCCCTTTCCCCTGAACGCATGCCTACAGGGAAAGGATTCTGTCTTGGGTGCACAGCTGGGGTGGAGTAGCAGATGGTCAAAGGTCAGGAGAGCCACTCTAAAGGACTTTCACCCACAGCACTCCAAGATGGTCGGCAGCCGTCCATGAGTTTGGAGGGAGAGAAAAAACGGGAAAAGCAAGAAAGTCGTAACATGCTCAGACCCTATCTGACATCATCTATACTGAAAAGAGAAGCCCATATTGCCATTCAAAAATGAGAAAGGTTGTCCTGAAGGCTGGAACTGCTTCTTGCTTCACACAAGGCAACCAATGGGTAAAGCATTATTTGTTCATTCAGAAATGGTTCTGGACCTTGGCCATGTCCCTACCCCATCAGCCAAGGCTTCCCACGACAGGGACCCCCAGCTCCTCTGGAACTACACAAAAATGAGTACCGTGTCGAGAGTGGGCGCTCAATTAATATTTGTTGAGTCTGATTGACTGGAGTAACCAAATAGCACGATGAGTTTAAAAGTATGATGTAATTCAGTTAGATAATAGGTCTAAGTGATTCTAATTCTTTCTGCTTGCTTGCCTTTTGAAGTAGCAATGCCTCAATGCCAAAAAAGAAGTGAAAATATAATCCTCCCTATAAATTCCACCATATATTGTTAGGTGAAATGCCAATCTCTTTCCCTTTGGAGCCCATCCAAATGCAAAAAGCCTCAGGGGAAAGAAGGTGGAGGCTTTCCCCAAGTCTCCCTTTGAACTAGTTTCCACCAAATGAGGGTGGCAGGTGGTCAGTCTCCACATATCTGTGGCTTCCTATCTACATGCATGACCCTCTTTGCCCCTCAACTCTCCAGTGGCACTCTCTGCCCTGTGGTGGGTGGAAAACCAAAACCAACAGCAAACATGAGTCACCTGGCTAGAGAACCAATACTTCTGTGTGCTGGGAATCATGCCCTTCCACTTGCAAGGAGGAAAGGACCTGAGACGTGGCATTCCTATCCACTTTGAGTGCTATGATGCAAAATAAAAACCAAGAATGATGTGGCCCCATGGAGACCACCTCTCATGATGAAGACACCGAGAGTTGTGGCCCAAGAACAAAGGAAAAGAGAAAAATCACACTACTCCAGTGGCCTAAAAGTTGTGCACCATGACAACTTTAAAGCAAAGGGAGTATAAATGTTTCCAAAGGAAGCACAGAGAACACTTGCAATACTGAGATCTAAATACAGGAGCTTCCAGTCTGCGTTCTTGACTGAAGTAAGTAGCATGTGAACACGAGAAAGTGACATTTTTACTTTCTAGCTGAAAGAACACAAATGTAAGTAACAAAAAGATCTCCCTGGCTCTTTTTCCAATTTTTTTGCATCATTCTTTCTTGAACCGTTAAAACTGTCAAGAAAGTATCTTAAAAAAACAAGAAGGAAAAAAAATTCTGAGATATGAAATGTCCGGGAGGCTGCTCGACTTGGCATTACCCCAAAAGCAGCTTTTCTTCAGATGCTCTGATGAAGAATCCAGGTATACAACACTCAAAGCAAACCATTTGTCTGATTCACCAAGGAAGTTTGATTCAAATGCATAATACACTCACCTCAATGTTCCAGATGTTTAGATTAGAAAGTAGATCCCAACAGAAATTTCCATTCTTATCCACTCCACTGAACCCAAAGCCAGCTGCATTATGCACTGCATCAGCTATGGTTTTTAAAACAATACATTAGAATATGGAACAAAAATCACATTGCTGCTTTAAAAGATAGTAAATATCTGTCTAGCTTCAAGATTGAGACATATATGGTAGTTTCTCTGGAAAAAGAACCAAAAAAAATTTAAGGGACCCGATACCATTGTGAATCAGAAAAATATATTTGGCTGTTTGGTGACCTTGACTTTTATTCATTCATTCCCTACCATGTAGTGAGCACCTGCTAAGTAAGAGGAAAGGTGCTAGATGTCATATAATGTAAAACTGAGAACTAAAAGGAAGAAGTAAACAGGATTTGGTAACCAACTTGATATGCAGGGAGAAAGGGAAGGAGGTAGAAATGTATCTAAGGTCAGAAGCAAGAGACTGGAAGAAACAGAGGACCTAGTAGAGGTCCAAGAGCTGTCGCTAAAAATGGCAGGGCATTAACTGACAGCACTAAGTCAGGGGGAGAAGCAGCTCTGAAAGAGAAATTGGAGCTCATTCTGGACATGCTAAACACGAGTAGGATACCAGCTTCAGCTACCAAGATGCAGTCAAGAAAAGTTTAGAACCTAAAACAAAGAAAGAACAGAGCTAGAGATGTGAATTTGGGGCCAGTTGCAATAGAGGCCACATCTAGACACAATTACCGAAGCCATCCTACCCATACGGTCAATCTAAAAGCTCCTTTATTTTACTCCACTGAACTACGAGAAAACGTCCCTCTGCCATGAATAGTTCACCTCTAGTCAATTCCTTAATGAAGCGCTTTTGTAATCAAATATAGACCTGATGAACCTTTATTTTACTCCACTGAACTACGAGAAAACGTCCCTCTGCCATGAATAGTTCACCTCTAATCAATTCCTTAATGAAGCGCTTTTGTAATCAAATATAGACCTGATGAATTTTTTTTTTCCTTTTTGTCGTTTTTCGTGTCCGGCAACGGATCGCAACCCTCAGTGTCGCGCCCGTACCAGACCGGGACCAGCAACGGGATCGCAACCCTCGGTGCTGCACCCGCACCTCGCTCAGCCAGTGAGCGGGAACCAGTCTGTATGTGGGATCCGAACCCTCTTCGGGAGCGCCACTGTGCTCCCAAGCGGCGCACTGTAGCAGTGCGCCACCGGGCCGGCCCCAGACCTGATCAATTTAACGTACTTTTACTATGATGACCAAGAGGCTGATTTTCTCTTTCTCTTTTTCACTTGTCCTATTTCAAGTTCTGTTAGGATATTTTCTCTAAAAAATAATTAATTAATCAAACTAATTAAATCAGCACTATAAAATCTTAGATCTGGAGATCTTAGAGAAATCTTTCTTTTCTCATGAGTTGAAGTCCGACTCAAGATGACTTTCTGAAGAACTATTCTAAAGAAAAACAACCTGCTCTGTTTGTCTCATTTATTTCTGGCATGGTTGATAATTTAATGTTGCTTGTCTTATGCTTGGCTTTACTGTAAAATGATCTGGTTTCTTTTAGAAGAAAGGATGAATAGTGCTGAGTCCTTCTACATCATTCTATGTCATTCTCCCAAGGTGATGGATGGAAACTCAGTGGAGAAGAAAAAGAAAAACAAAGCAAGACTGTCCCAGTAAGAAACTAATGGTTTTCAGTGTGTGGGAACAAATTCATGAATGACAGAAGGTAAACTAAACTGGGAGACGAGCCTTTGAGATCCATGCTAACAACTAAAACCAGAGCTGGACTGACCAGCATCACAATTTCTAAATTCCTTCTTCAGCCTTGTATCTGGCATGCCTGGTCAGACCTAAAAGAACAGAATAATAATAACTATCTGTCTTAGTCCGTTTGTGCTGTTATCACAGAATACCTGAAACTGAGTAATTTATGAACAGGGATTTATTTATTACAATTCCGGATGCTGGGAAGTCCAAGGTCAAGGTGCGAGCATCTGATGAAGGCCTTGGTAATGAGTCATCCCACAGCAGAGGGGCAAGAGAGCACAAGCGAACAAAAGAGGACCCAACTGGCTTTTATCAGGAGTCCAATCCCATGATAATGGCAACGATCCATTCACGAAGGCAGAGCCCTCATGGCCTAATCAGCTCTCAAAGGTCCCACCTCTCGGCTCAGTTGCACTGGGGATTAAGTTTCCAACACATGTACTTCAAGGGACACATTCAAACTGCAGCACTTTTTTTTCAGTGCTTATTATTTTTCAAGGACTTGATAAAACTCTTCATACATATTTCTCATTTAATCATCACAACAGTGTTAAGGGTGGGCTCTGGAGGAAAATCTGCTGAGTTCCTATCTCTGCTCAGCAATGTACTACATGCATGCCCTTAAAAGAGTTGGCTAACTTCTAGAAACCTATTCCCTCCAGTATAAAATGGTCAATAACAATGGTACTCATTTTAAAGAGCTGTTGAAAGGATTAAATAAAATTAAATATGTGTAGAGTCATAGCTCAGTGCCTGGTCCAAGTCAACACTCAAGAAATGTTACCTGCCATGATGAAGATGATGATGATGATTAGCCTATTAAGGGGACCGAGATTAGAGATGTTAGGTAAACATTAAGATCACGCAGGTGGTAAATAATGCCAGAATCTGAATTCTAGAAGTCTGATTCCACAATCTGAGTGGGCGAGCACTCTGAAAGACAAATGGTGAAGGACCCCAAGTACTGACTCTCAGAACCGCCACGGTTAGACAATGTCAGAATTCCCAGCTCCGCTTAGTGCATTCCACGGTCACTTATCCAAGATTTGTTTTTGTCTCAGAGCGGTTAGAGGTTCTAAATTTGCCAGTCCAAAACTAGCTCTGCTTGTATTGTGCATGGCTCTAACCTATTATTACTGATAAATTAATTTACACAGCCATATGTTGGAGTTTGTGATCCTTAGAACATAGCCTGGGCTTAAGTTGTCTCACTAATTAGTACTAATTAGTAGAGGAAAAACAACCAGAATTGTATACTAAGTCTAAAGAAAATAGATTATTTCAATATAAACAGTAACTACAGCTAGGCTAACACAGTGCAGCTCAGCTGAGATTCATCAACAGGCCAGCTTTAAGGATTAAATTTATAATCATGTATAATTAGTACATCAACTATATGTAAATGGTGTTTTAAAGAGCTGGATAAAACAATTATTTGGTTAAGCAGTTTAAATATTCCCTGATATACTATTTATTGCTTCTTTACTCATAAATAAGACAAAGGTTAATTTCAGACCAGTTCATACAATCTACACTGGAGCAAACCACAAATTGAAGCCATACAAATTAATGAAATGTTTCTACTGAAGCTACCAAAAAAAAAAAAGATTTTAAAAAGCGGTGGGGTATCGGGGGAGAGCTATGTCCACAGAGAAAGCACTCCACATGTGAATACTCCACATGCTATACTTCAAATGCCTGGGGTACTCCCAAAAGGGCAAAATGATGCGAGAGCCCCCTGTTCCCTGTAACCGTTCCCCACCCAGGTCCCCACCAGCACAGCCTACCTAGCACCAGATTTCCCAATGAATGGCCTTTCTTCCCTCCTTAAATCAGGAGCTATTTTGGCCTAGAAGCCTGGGATTCAGAATTTGGCAGTGGGAAGGGGAGAGAAAATACGGGTAAGGAGGCAGAAGGTAGTGAAAGGGAGAGGCACCCGGCATTCTTCTTCACGATACAACTCTGATGATGGGATTAGGTGCTGTATTTAGACGTAGAATAGATCTCTGACACTCGAGAGTTAATTCTATCCAGAATAGAAGAAAACTTCTATGCAGCATAGTCTACCAACAAAAGGTATGTAGTTTTATTACCCAAAGCATAAGAGAAATGAATAACATTACTGGGTGGCAAATTCCCATCAGAAAAAAAAATAATTTGGACCAGCCTGGTGGCGCACTCGGTAGAGTGCGGCGCTTGGGAGCACTGGCGGCGCTCCCGCCGAGGGTTTGGATCCCATATAGAGACCGGTCCACTCACTGGTTGAGCGCGGTGCGGGCGCGACACTGAGGGTTGCGATCCCATTGCCGGTCGCGGTATGGGCGCGACACTGAGGGTTGCGATCCCGTTAACGGTCACGAAAAAAGACAAAAAGGAAAAAAAAAATAGAAAGAAAAAAAATAATTTGCCTTCCATGGAGCGCGGTGCGGGCGCGACACTGAGGGTTGCGATCCCATTGCCGGTCGCGGTATGGGCGCGACACTGAGGGTTGTGATCCCGTTAACGGTCACAAAAAAAGACAAAAAGGAAAAAAAAAAAGAAAGAAAAAAAATAATTTGCCTTCCACGTCTGGAGCCAGCGGAGCCCAGGAAATGGGTTTGAGTCACCAGCAAGGTGACTGCTACACACACACACATTCAGGTTAGAGCAAAGTAAAAATATTAATTATTTCGACCGGTTCCCGCTCACTGGCTGAGCGAGGCGCGGGAGCAACACCGAGGGTTGCGGTCCCGTTGCCGGTCCCCGGTCCGGTACGGGGGCAACACTGAGGGTTGCAATCCGTTGCTGGACACGGAAAAAAGACAAAAGACAAAAAAAAAATATTAATTATTTCACACAGAAAAATATGCCCCATGTTCCAGCAGGGTTTCAGCTCCAACCATAGCAGGTATAATGCCTACCTATGAAAGAAATAATCATTTTAACATAATAAAGCAACTGTAAAACAAAGAGTAAGATCAAAGGAGACTTCTGAAGCCTTCCCCAATGGCCCGTCCATAGTCCTCATTTCCACTGGGACAGGCCTCAGTGCGTACTGCCTGCCTGCTGTGTGTGTCTGTGCTTCCACAGAGTGTGACAGCCATAAGGGAGAGAAGACGTCTTACCTTTGCTATGTTGAAAAGTGAAAAATTACTCTGGCTCAACTGCTTCCCATTATGTATGAGACTTTGTTTGCTTAGGTGACCCAAAATGTTGTTCTGGCTAAGCTATCCAAGGAGGGCTATTTTCCCTCTTTCACTTAGAGCCACTCCATCCAACTTACCTAATGTCCACGCAAAGTAATACTTGGGCTTTGAGGCTTGCATGACAACATACAAGTAGCACAGTCGAGTCAGAAAGTTTGCTTTATGGACAAACCAGTCATCAGCAAGGCAAGTGACAGGGAAGGTCTTCGTGAATGTCAAAAACAAAAGAAGAGACACCAAGGTAATGCACAACTTGTGTATCACAGCTCCCTGAAAATGGAGGAAAAAATCAATGTAACCATTCAGAAGACTGGTATGAGGACAAGAGTTTCAGCAAGGGCATGTTAAGAGTGACATGGCTCCAATAGCTGCTGTGGCATTATTCCCTAGAAGGAGTGGCTACGGGCATTCTTCCTCATGACACAGACCTGATGATGGGGATTGGGCGCTGTATTTAGATGCAGAATAGACCTTTGACACTTGAAGGTTGAATGTATCCAGAATGGAAGAAACTTCTATCAGTAGAGTCTAACAATAAAAGGTAGGTGGTTTTATTATCCAAAACATAACAGAAAGGAATAACATTACAGGGTGGCAATTTTCCATCAGAAAGAAATAACTATTTGCCTTCCACTTTTGTAGCCAGCAGAGCCCAGGAAATGGGCTTGAGTCACCTGCGAGGAGGACAGAGGCTCAGGTACAAAGGCTTCTGTGCAAGATGCTGAATACCAGAGCCGGTACGTGGGCAGGTAACGGAAGCAGAGCCCAGGAAATGGGCTTGAGTCACCTGCGAGGAGGACAGAGGCTCAGGTACAAAGGGTTCTGTGCAAGATGCTGAATACCAGAGCCGGTACGTGGGCAGGTAACGGGGAACTTTAGAAAGCCTTCCAGGAAGGCTTAGGCGTAGACTGCTCTGGGGTTAATATGTGCTGACTTCTAAAATTCCTCCAGATGAAGGGATTTTGCCCAGTTTCCTTGACATTCCAGGGAATGTCATTCAATGTTCAACAGAACTATAGCTTCCAACTTCATAAAAACGGACTAATTGTATTTATAACATGGGCATAGTGATAGCACCTCCCTCTGAGGGCAGCTTGGGGCTTAAATCAATGGATGTTTCCAAGGTACTGTAAATAGTGCCTGGCTCCCAGTTAAGTGCTCACCACACTTGGCCTCAATGACGACACACTGAAGAGGCACCCACTCGTGGGTCCCCACCCATCAGTGTGTCTTTAGCCAAAACACAACTTCACACTTCACCTTCCCTGTGCACAAAAATGCAAGAGTCTCCTTGTAGAGTGATGGTAAGACTCTCTGGTAAAATTACTTTCTAAATAAAAGCACATGAAAGACAAAAGCACGACAGTGACAGATACTGCCTGGAAACACATGTGGTTACTTTGATGCCACACAGCCATGGTGACTTCACTCCCAGATTGTTTCAATAAAGCAGAGGGAGCTGATTCACCAGACAGACCATAAAGTGCTGGGAACTCAAATATGTGAAAACTATCTCAAAATTCACACTTGATTAGTAAATCACTTAAATTTTCAAATACCCAACTCATATTTTTATCTAAATTTTTGCATTTATTAAATATTTAACTCAAATTATCCTCATTTCCTCCCTTTTCCAATTTTCATCATTCCTTCAACTAACTACAGATTTCACTTACATACAGGATATTTGACCTGAATACATTTAGCATACTTGTAAGGTTCAAAAAGTTATCCTAATGTTAACTCATTTGAGATTGATAAAATTCAGGTCAAAATTAAAATATTCTTTCAAAAAGCCATCTTACACTCTCTCAAAGTCAATAAAACCAAATTTCAGATATGCCCGTGTAAAATCAGTTTCCGTTGCAATAAGTGAAGTCTGTAATAAAAAACACATTAATTCTGGTCCCCATCCCCCACCACCTTTTATGACATATTATCTTTTGGCTGTATTTGAATTCCAATTCATAAAAGCAAAACACCATAGCATTTGAATATGTTAACTTACACAGTGCTGGGCACATTGCATGCACTATACACTGGCTGATTAATTAATACATTGATGGCATTAATATCCCAGGCCAATGAGCTTCTCTGTTAAATAAACACCCATTGCCCCAACACAAAGGACTCATGCAAATAAATGCCAATACTGGTATTTTAAACAAATGGGACAAAAAAGCTATTGGCCAAGCTTTCTGGTAAACTGTTTGGCTTTCTAATTAGAACAATTATTAGTGAAAGTCAGCCCTGGCAGCAAAACCCTACTCTCTGGACCTCTGGGTAAACACTTGGCACTAGAAACTTACAGTGGGAGAAGGTTCTGGCAAGCCGTGGAAACCTTTTTGCTTCCAATTCACTTCCAGCAACTTCATGTGTGTATGTCTCCCCTCGATGAAGGCTATGTAGTCTTTGAAATTGTTACAAGGGCCAGCTATGACACTCATGAAATTGAGAAGGTAGCTTAAGTATTCCAAAAAGGAGGGTTTCATTCTGTGAAAATAAACAAAGTAAAAAAGTTGAAAAGGCTCCAGTCTTTCATTTTTCTCCCAAATTTGCAAATAAGCAAATGATAAACACAGGTGTTATCTTTGTAGGTTATTATACATGACATGACCTTTCCTTGTTCTGTTTCCATAAAATCCATCTAGGAGAGAAATCTTGTTGAAAGGAAAAGTTACTGAGGTGGGAGGCTCAGGGAAGGTGCGGAGCTCCGTGGCGCCCCCTATTGGCTGAGCACAGCTGTAAACACTCAGGGTGGGGTTAGGGCAAAAGCAACTCTGAGACTGGAAAGCACTCTTTTCTCAGCATCCTTAACTGTCAGCAGGACTGAAGGTAATAAACATAAGGCAGGGTGGGAACCTGACCTAATGTTAGCTGACTGAGATGCTTTGACATGGGAAAACTCCCTCCCAATTGCCAAAATAAATACAAAACAAACGATGGGTGGAACCAGTTTCCACTTGAAGAGTCCACACAAAACCACCGCTGTAACAGTCTTTTGTCTGCTTTGGCATCCAGGCATGAGGTCCTGGACAACAGTCCAGGGTAGTGGCAGGAAAAAAATCTATAGAGCAAGCACAGTTCTGGGTAGTGCTTTAACGGCACATGAGGAAGCCTATTCTTCTAGCAGAATAGAATTGCAGGGATAGGCTTCCTGGAATGCCATTACTAACCAGTCACTGGAATTATACCTTTAACAAAGGAACGAAGTCTCCTCTACCACTTGAGACCCTCCTCAATAGAATTGCAGGGATAGGCTTCCTGGAATGCCATTACTAACCAGTCACTGGAATTATACCCTACACAAAAGGGTCTTCAAAAAGTTCATGGAAAGATTTGTATTACCTTTCCATTCTATTTTTCCACGAACTTTTTGAAATAACATCTCCTTTATATCTCCATAATGGTTAGCAAAGAACTTGATTCATTAGAATATTACAATGGTTCTCCATTGCTTCTTAGTCCTTTAACAAAGGAACGAAGTCTCCTCTACCACTTGAGACCCTCCTCAATTTTCCCAGTAATCTCCTAACACCCTTCAGCAGGAGCCCCCCACTCCCACGGCTGCACCACACTCCCCAGTGTGCTCCTACGACATGCCATTTTCAGTCTCAGATGCTTTTCTCCTCCTACCTTAGCCTCCTTTCCTTTCCAACACCCACCCCCCTTCTACTCAACATCAACGCTGGCCGGAGCCCACCTTCAGTCTTCCTCCTATATTCATCTCAGCCCACATTCGTCTTTCTTGACCTACATCCTATCATTTTTCTTGCTGGCATTTAATCACGCTGATGTGCACTGATAGTTAACTGTTTCTTGAACACGCCTCAGACACATATGTCTACTTCTGGAGTAGACATAACAACCCCAGCGAAGGAGAATTCTGCAGAACTAACAAAATTACAGCCATTTACTCTTTGACCTAGCAACCCCACTTCTGGGAATCTATCCTACAACCATACCCAAACACATTTAAAATAACCTATGTTGGGGCTGGCTGGTGGCTTACTCGGGAGAGCAAGGTGCTAATAATGTCAAGGTCAAGAGTTCAGATCCCCATACACACCTGCCAGCCACCAGGGGGAAAAAAATGATGATAATAAAAAAAAAAAAAAAAAAAACACGTATGGATTGCAAAATTTAAAATACATACATAAATAAATAAATAAGTACACTTATGTTCAAGATTATTCATCACTTAACATTTGTAAAAACCAAAGACTGGTAGACAACTCAAGTGTCCATCAACAGCAGACTCATTAAATAAATGATATTACATCCATATAATATGCAGATATAAAAAATGAGGAAGATCTCTAGATGCTGATATGCAAAGGGCTCAAAAATACACAATTAACTTACTTCACAGCAAGTCGATGCTGCTCAGCAGAGAGGTCTTCAGGTCTTCGACCTAATCCTATGAAAAAGAAAAAAATTTAGAAATAAGATGTTTGACGTGAAGTAGATAACTAATCCTAAGAGTCTTATCAAACTTATTTGAAAAAGGTAATTTATTTCTGCTTCACAAATCCTAGAGTCCCTGTTTTCCATTTTTAAAAAATGGCCTGGATCAAAGGCTACCCATAAGTAGGTGTGAGAAGGAAAGTCTCAATAGGTTCATTGAAGAAGGGAGAGGTCAGAGGTTGCTCCTACTTAATTCACATATTAGGACATGGGCCCCAGAGAACCCTCCCCATCTCTTCCAGGTGGTGGTTTCTTACCACTTTGTATATGTATCCATTGCTACATCAAAGAAATAAGCTTTCCTTTTGTGAGCCACTGCAGTTTAAATACCTTCCTGATCATACTGGGTGCAGACACCTGATACAAGCTGAGCGTATGGGTGTGAGATATAATGGAGAAGAAAATACGGGACTTTCCTCTTCCAAATAACAGAGGAAATGTAACTCTGAATGCAGGGAAAGCATAAAAGAATTATCAGAAGAATTTTCTTCTTTTAACACTCAGCCCTAGCAGAAAAACTCCCAAACAAATCATACGTGTGCTTCCTATAAAGTGCATACGTTAACTTAGAGTCAAAGATACTGAAGTGTTATCTTATAATATGTCAACTCGAAAACTGGACATTCAGCCAGGACTGATTATGGTCACCAACCGTGAAAGCAATTCAAAACCTGCTTTCAATAAGAGAAGGTGGGGGGTTTCTGGAATTTATTTGTTTCTCCCACACACAAGAAAAAAGAAAAAGGCAAATGAACATTTTGTTCCATGTAGGGGATGTTCCAGAAAATATGGTAAAGTGAGAATGCTTAAAAAAGTAAATTTAGGGGGCTGGTCCGGTCCATGTAGGGGATGTTCCAGAAAATATGGTAAAGTGAGAATGCTTAAAAAAGTAAATTTAGGCAAAAAGTCTGTATCTAAAAAAAACAAAACAAAACATGAAGCAAGTGTTAGAAATCTCATTATCTCATTCATTTTTTC